TTAAGTGAAGGCTTTAGCTTATTGTTATCTCTACCCAGGCTTAGCCAATTTACTTGATGGCTCTAGGAGATGAAGTTTCTCAAAACACCAAACACAAAAGAATTAAAGAATTTAGATTTCTTGGTATTACTCATAACTATCCCCTGTAGCTCTAGTCTGAGGATGGGCCAGAAGTAGTCCTACATGGAAGGTAGGTTTCAATTTTGGTCCTCGCAGAAGCAGACACCACAATGGGATTGGATGAACAGAAGTTTTATTGGGAGAATTACCAGTGAACGATAGAGAGAAAGAAGTGGAAGCTGAGCTAGAGAGAGCCTTCGGACCGCAATGCAGGGCGACAACTGTAAAAGCTAAGGGGGAAGGAAGGTAGATTAACCAAGAAGAATTTAAGACTGCAGGCAGCCTTAAAGTTTTGACCAGCGTAGGGAGAATCTTTAAGTCAAAGCTGCCCCTTAGAGGAATCCTGCATTCCTTAAGAATGGGTCTGCACTAATCCCATTTGTGTGCTCAATCACTGACTGGGAGAAGCCCAGGGGAAATATCTCAGCATAAACACAGTGCTGGATCTGGCCAGGCAATAGGCAAGGCTGAAAGCCAACTGTGTTCCTTATAGCACAAGATCTGAGCAAGTTGTTTCCCAGGATGCTGCACAGGGTACTTACTAAGGGAGGAGATGATTCCTAATACCAGCTCCACACACAGAGCATGCTTACCATACTCTTCTCACTGCCATGTTTCAGAATGTGTATCTTGTTATCATGTTAGTCTAGGTCCCTATGGCGGTTTCAAGATCTGAATGTGGCTTATTTACCTAGGTGAGCTGAGTGAAGCGAAAGAGAAAAGAGCCAGGAGAAGGGGTGCAGATACTGGCCTGGCCAAAAAGGTCCAGGCTGAGTGTCCCCAGAGACAAAGGCCTAGGAGAGGGTTTCTACTTTTTCCAGAGAACACCTGCATTTCTGTGTGTGCGTGAGTGCGTGTGTGTGTGTGCTTCGTTTTCTGCCATGTCCTGAGACAGAGAACGCACATTGATGCCAAAGCAAAGAACCAAGCTGCAGCAAAATTGTCTCAATTGCTATTTTTTCTAACAATGCTGATGCTGATTCAAATTTAATGTTTCTACCTCAAAATATGAATTGTATTATAAGTAGCATAACTCAAAATGAATTTTCATACAATGTTTATATTTTATGGAGTTATTAATCATCAGCTTTATTACTTTAGTTTCTTTTTCCTTGATTAGGCTGCAGACCAGTCTCAGCTCTGTCAGGGTACTCTGTAGCAACTGGAGACTGACGGACCCCTCAGGTTTTCTTTTGCAGATTAAGGATGTGAGGAGCCAGAGAGAAGCTGAATCCCTAGAGCTACTGTTGTGACCTAAATTATGGAGTCATTCTGTGGTTCTCCAAACACCAACTGGGCCTCCCAGCGTGAAACCACCCGACACAGGTGATGGGAGATGACTAGGCTGGTTTTCCATCTCCTCCCTCCCTGGCTGACAATAAACCTCTAAACTAATCTGGGTACATGTATGACTTTTCCCTGACTAGTCCTCAGTAGTTCAGGAGAGAGATGAAGAGCACCTGAAGTGAGAAGGGGGTGGGCCTGGGGAAGAAAGCCCATTACTTGGGTGACTGAATGTTGTAGGATAAAGAGGAGTCAGAGAAATTTTCCAGGTTTTCTGTTTGGGGCCCTGGTGCTAGTTGGGGGATAAATGCATCATCAGCAGAGGTAGAGGATATAGGAGAATAGGCAGGTTTGGAGGGGATTTGCAAAACTCAGTTGGAGCAGGTTGTGTTTGAGTTGCCTGTGGGAACTCTTGGGACACATCTCTAGCAGGCAGCTGGAGATATAGGTCTATTCTGGTTACTTATTGCTACCTGACAAACTACCACAAAACTGAGTGGTTTCACACAACACTTTTATTTATTTGCCCACAATTCTGCGATTTGGGCATGGTGGAGAATAGCTTGTCTCTGCTCCATGTGGTCTCAGCTGGGGCAACTTGATGGGACTGGAGGATCCACTTCCAAGATGGCTCACTTACAAGTGTGGCCAAGTTGGCTGTGCCCAGTGGGAGCACATCTAGGGCTGTTAGCCAGGGGCCTGAGTTTTCTTCTATTTGGCCTCTCAAAATGACTGGGGTTAGACTTCTGACATCATGGTAACCTCAGAGTAGTTACATTTCTTACATGGTACTACCTCCAAAGGGGGAAAACGGAAGCTGTTGTCAAAAACATAAACAGAACAAACAAGGAAAATAGATTTTATGCAGACTATTGCAAAGGAGAGAGTACCCAGATTTGAAGATTGGAGTATAAGAGCAACTTGAACTTTTATAGAGGGGTTATCAACGGATGCTTATAATTGTGAGATAGGGAATCTGAAGGGACCCTATGAAAGATGGCTTTTTTGCTGTCTCTATTCTTGCTACACCCCCACCCCACACATGTCTTGTGGTACAGATAATGTATGTCCTCCTTGTAAAGGTCAGGGATTCAATGATTTCTTTGGAGTCTTCCAGCACAGTAGATAACATCTAAGGAGTGACCAGGCGTGTCATTATGAACATTTTTCTAAGACCCCTAGCTCCAGGTCATAAATGACTTATGGAGGACACTTAAGTACTCATCTTTGTTCCTGAATGCCTGAGAAGACATGTACATGAGTCTACAATCCTCAGTAAAAACACAGACACCAAGTAAAGACAAGACTCATTTTTTTTTTTCCCTTTCTGAGACTCCCAGATACTGTCTGCACTCTTTCTATGTCTTCGGTAAACTCTGCTGTCACTTCCTCTTGGCTTATGTTTGATGTCTATCCTGTGCAAAGCCAAAGACCCTCTTGGCCTGTCTTGTGGGACCTCTTTTGGGTCCTTGGACCAGCCAGCCTACATCAGTTAGAATTGTTTTGTAATCAGGGGATGTCTTAATCAGCCAGGATGTGTTGATATCTGGGTCTAGCTAATTTTAAGGGGACAAACAGTTCTAATCTCAGCTAATCATCTATGAGACAAAGGAAGTTGAAGGGTTTGTGCCTGGCCTTGTCAACAGGTTTAGACAAAAAGGGAAAGGTATGTATTTGGCCTTATCACAGGTGAACAAGGAGTCACCTGCTAGTGTTATGAGAGAGTGGACAAAGTTTCATCTAAGTCACACGGGGAAGGGTGGTTCTTTGTGGTAAGCCATTTCCCAGAACACAAACACGTGTGTGTGTGTGTGGGGGGGGGATTTCTTAGTCATTTCCGTTTTCCATGAGTATAGGCTCCAGTAAATTTCAATGTTGTCACTGCAAAGTCTTCTTAGGGCCTCAGCCTGAACTGGCAGTCATTTTTGCCTCATTCTTTTGTTTAAAGCAGTAACAGATCCAGCCCACATTCAAAGGGAGAATGTTACACAAAGGCATGGATACTGGGGAGGCATGGTTCATTGTGGGCCACCAGAATAGTCTCTCATAGAGTCTGAACCTTGGACTGGATATTTAGAATAGGATGCTACTAGCATATCCTGGGTGGTAGCTGCAACCAACAGGTAGGATCACTGGGCATGTGCACACATTGGTAAATGTAGAAAAGAGTCCATCAACATTTCAGACATATCAGATTGGAGTCTTGAGGGTTGTGACTTTCCTAGTTTCTCAGAAGCTCTCATTAATACTGTTTCTTGATTAACATTTACTCCAACATTTTCTTTAATTTTGTTGTTAGTTATGTTTCATGAACATCAGCTCGGTATTCACCTAGCATCACGGTAAGGATGACTGGACTTAACCGGAACTGCCAATTAGTAAGTTTTTACATTTTAATTATTTGCCCAGATTAGATATGGTCAGAGCCATTGACTTAACCAGCTTCTGCAACAAAGAGGGCCAACAGAAAGAGAGGGAATCCCTATGTGAAGGGGAGTGTTTGTGAACAAAGGTCTCCCACACAGGGACCCTCCGCAGAAGGTAGCTAACCTTTGGAAATTTGATCTTTCTCTGTCTTCTTCTGGACTCAACAACATCAGTTTCTTTTGGAGCTCTTTATGAAGATAGGCTAATAAAAGACCATAAATCTTTTTTTTTTTTACTAGGTGAAGAATTTACCACTCTAATTAGCATCACCATTCAAAGGCTTTCATATTCCAGAAACAAACACCAGGCATTCTGAGCGCTAGGGTTAAAGGGAATCTTAAATCATGAGTAAGCATAGGTGAAGGGCATGAAGACTTAGAGTTTAGGTATTGCCTGTGTGCTGACAGTCATCGGGACTTAGTACTGAGATACAATGCTGAACACACTTACTGTCCTAGGTTTTATGAGTAAGAGATAAAATCCAAGCCTAGTACTGTGGGTTTGTAAAGAAATGACTGTAATATATTATTTCGTTCTGGGTTATACTAAAGTAGGTCTGCACAAAATGTTAATGACTTCCCCAAAGCAGAGTGGTGTATGTTTCACCAAAGTAAGTGACAGGCGGGGTCCTGAAGCATGGATAGGAGTCTACTCAGCTATACATAGTAAAATGTAGAACGGAAGGCCATTTACATGCAACAAGGAAACGTAAATTTTGAGGTAGGAGGACCTGCCTCTCAGGAATTTCCCAGAGGCTGTCATCTCTTACTCTCAGTCCCATCCCGGGAAGGTGGTGGTGAGTGTGAGTGTTAAGTCCCCTCAGCAGGTTCCTAATCCTACAGCCGCGCGCTGGTAGGGGAATGAGAAAGAACAGAGAAGGGAGGCGGGGTGTGTGGGGGGAGTGAGGGGCAAAGACTTCCCGCGCATGCGCCCTGGCAGATGGCCGGCTCAGCAGAGTAGTTTGGCCTGTGGCTCCCTCCGCACGTCGCGCCTCTCAGGGGCCCGCAGACTTGGCCCCGGGAGCGAGCGCGCTGCGCGCTCGCGCAGCCTCTCGGCCGGGCGGGCGCCTGCGCACAAACGTCCCGGGCGTTGGAGCCGCGGGGTTATTAGAGGTGGAGCGCGGGGAGGGCGCGCGGCAGGAGGCGGCCGCCGTTACGGCGCGAGCGTGGTCACGTGGTCGCTGGTCACCGCCGCCGCCTCCCCCTCCCGCCCTGTTCTCTTTCTGGTCCGGCCGGGCCCGGCTGGTTCCACGAGCGCTCGGCAGAGACTGAGGGAGAGAGAGAGAAAGAGGAGGGGAGGAGGAGGAGGATTCAGGGAATAGGAGCTGGGGAGCCCTTCTGCGCCACAGGTAAAACAAGATGATGATATCGTAAAAAAGCCCGAGCCCCCTGAGCGCCTCCGCCTCCCTCCAGTGCAGCCCCCCACATGCAGTCGCTCCCGCCCCGGCCTCCCCCTCAGCTTCTCAGGACCAGTCCCGCCTTTCCCAGCACCGCTGCTGCAGCTGCCGCCGCCTCCCGGGAGGGCCTGAGGGTGCTGCTGCTGCTGTCGCCGCGAACGGGTAGTCGCACCGCCCCCGTTTGTGCGCCTCCCGGATCGGCGTGGGGGCTGGGTGGCGGGAGGGAGGCTCCTCTAGCTCCAGGGCGGGCACGGAGAGGAGGTTGCTTCCCCCAGTCGGCCAGCCCGCCTTCCCTCCTTCGAGAGGTTGGGGTCTAGGCTGCAAGGCCAAGTGCAGCGAGAGGGTAGAGCCTGGTGGGTGGACGGGCTCAACTTCCTACTTGGTAAATTTCCCTGTTCATTTCAGCCTAGGCAACACGTTTCCTTCACAGGCCGGAAGCAAAAGGGACCCGTAATCCCCAAACCTTTTAAAATGCAGTCTTTAGACTAGCGAAACCTTTCTCGTTTTTGAGGAAAGAAACGTGACCATATTTTAGTTGGACTTAAGTTTGTTCACCTGTAAGAACGTGCAAGTTGAGGCCTTTAAGGATCTGAGAGAAACTTTGTGAAAGTTGATCCCTCCTACTTTTCCTGCAAAAAACGAACACAAACCTAAACAATTTTCGGTTCTGCAAATGACCTAGAGTTTGTTCAATACCAGCTATTAAGCAGTTTTTAGTTTCAGGAAAATGATATAAAGTTCACATCCTTTAGGGTGTTTGTTTGTTTGTTTTCTGAATGATGATTTTCGGGAATGAGCTGTATCCGTCAACCCCAAATTGGACTAAATCTCAGATAGGAGTCGCGTGCAGGTTGAACAGCTTTGGGCCGGGTTGCGCGGGGACACCTAGAACCAGTCATTATTTGTACTCTTTGTACAACAAAATATAGTACCAGTAAAACTGTATGTTATTAGTGTGCTGTTGCACAAAATACTGACTGAAAGCAGGAAGTGTTAAATATAGGCATTGTTAAAAATCTGTACACTCAAGTTCATTTATATGCTGGTCATTTTTCTTAATGAGCTTTTCTGATTACATGTCTTGGAATTTTCATGCTGTATCTCTAAATTCAGATGTAAACTTGAGTATTTAAAATTTTTTACAGCTACCTGCAGTAGAGTCAGAGCAGTGCTTCTCAAACCTTAATGTGCACACGAATCCCTTGGGGATCTGGTTTAAAAATGCAAATTCTGGTTTAGTAGATCTGTGATGCATCTTGATATTCTGCATATCTTATGAGCTCCTAGGTGCTGCTAGACAGGGAACAATTCTTGAATAGCAAGGAATTGGATAATGTGTGTGCTGAGAAATAAAGTGATGTGTCAATGAAAACGTTCCTTAATTCATCCTGAGTGTAGAGGTGGCTTGAGAGAAGGGGTAGATGGCAGGATGAACTCAAAAGCTTGTGTTAGGGAAATCCTTTATGAACAGTGAGCAGGCTATGTTGGAATCCCAGGGAAGGGATAGCAGACGGAGGGTGAGATGCCCCAACCTGGAGGAGTGGAGGTACCAGGTGTGCATCCTGTGGTGCATACATCACCTGGCCTGTGAATTTTTCCGTGGAAGCCTAGTATACTTCTGGCTGACGGACTCAGCTACGGGTAGTTAGGTTTTATCAGCTTATAGCCTGTGTGTCTCTGAATCCATTGCTGGGAGGAAGTTTTCTTTTATTGGTGAGAGTATTGAGTGTGTGCTGCTTCTCCCAGATGCAGCCTCCGTTGAGAAATGCATTCCTGAGCTTTGGAAGCAATCTTGTAAAGAATTTAGGGTCTCCACCTGTTGAGGTTATCCTAAATGGATTCAGATGTTTTCCTAATCTAATTAATAAAAGTAAATTGAAAAGTTGAAAAGTCCTACTTAACCTCATACTTTATGTAAATAAAAATGGTTGTACTTGGGGCACCTGGGGGGCTCAGTCAGTTAAGCATCCGACTTCAGCTCAGGTCATGATCTCGGGGTTTGTGAATTCAAGCCCTGCATCAGGCTCTGTGCTGACAGCTCAGAGCCTGCAGCCTGCTTCAGATTCTGTGTCTCCCCCGCCCCTCCCCTGCTCATGCTCTGTGTTTCTCTGTCTCTCAATAATAATCAACGTTAAAAAAAATGGTTCTACTTAACTTTTTAAGAACTTTTTTGAACAGTAACCTCGACTACTTTTAGCACTGTAATTTTTATAGTCTTCATTCTAGTCCTTACTTTACCATTGTTTTTTCTTGTTATTAAGTAATATTTATGACAGTACTTTTGAAGCACTAGTGCCAGACTTCTAAGCACTTTATGTGTCTAACTCCTCTAATTGTAACAATCTTTAAGGGAAACTAAAGCAGAGAGTGGGTAAAAGTCCTATGCTAACAGAGTTGGGCCTCTGGCTGGCTCTAGAGTGTATGCTTTAACAGTCTTCTCTGTGCAGCTTTAAAAAAGTTTTTTTTAAAATGTTTATTTATTTTTGAGAGATAGTGCATGAGTGGGAGAGGGGCAGAGAGAGACACACACAATCTGAAGCAATCTCTAGGCTCTGAGCTGTCTGCACAGAGTCTGATGCGGGGCTGGAACACACGAACCGTGAGATCATGACCTGAACTGAAGTGGGACACTTAATTGAGCCACCCAGGCGCCCCTTTATGCAGCTTTTTGGAAAGAAAATAAATTGATACTTTTTAAAATCCCCTTTCCCTAGTATTGTTGAGAATTATGAGTTTTGCTTTCCATTTTTAAATCCCTATTTGTCATCTTTTAAAAAATTTCCCCCATTGTATTCCATGAAATGCAATCCCATAAAATGAAAACTTGCCTCAATGCTTGTACTCTTTTCTGAATAAGATACTGAAATATTGAAAAGCTTTATTTTGTTTGCACCTGTTACCTGGACCAGTCTCTTTCAAGTCTGTAAGTCATTGTTAAATGTGAAAGTAGCGTCTGCTTCCTTTTGGCTCTGCTAGTTTTCAGTTCATTTTTTGCCTATGCCTCTCTTTCATCTTCCACTGCCTCCCCCGCTCTATGCATACATAATAGATGCAGCTTATATTTGTTATTGTAACGTTTAGGATTTTGGGGGGGATTGATGGGGTCACTGACTTTTTATTTGGCCAGTAAGGGGGGATGCCTGTGTGGCTCAGTTGGTTAAGCATCCGACTTCGGCTCAGGTTATGATCTCACCGTTCGTGGGTTTGAGGCAGGCGTTGGGCTGTGGGCTGACAGTGCAGAGCCTGGATCCTGCTAAGAGTTCTGTGTCTCCCTCTCTCTCCCCCTCTGCCACTTATGCTCTGTCTTTCAAAAATAAATAAACATTAGGGCTCCTGGGTGGCTCAGTTGGTTGGGCATTCAACTTCAGCTTGGGTCATGATCTCAAGCTTGTGAGTTTGAGCCCCATTTGGGGCTCTGTGCCGACAGCCCGGAGCCTGGAGCCTGCTTCAGATTCTGTGTCTCCTTCTCTCTCTGCCCCTCCCCCGCTCATGCTCTGTCTCTCTCCTTCAAAAATAAACATTAAAAAAAATAATTTTTTTATTTGGCCGGTAAGGATGATAACAATCTAAGCATGAGTCATTGTTATCATATTTTAACACTGAGGAAGTACTAAGGACAACCTCGCAATAAACGTTAAATAATTGGTTTTCATAAGAAAATTAATATGTCATCTGTACCCCATCCCCTTTTGTCTCAGACCATTGGAAGTTTTGTTCTGTATTAGCACCAGTCTGGGGAGTGGTGCTTATACACCTGGTCTAAGACATTTCTCTTAACGTGGACAGATGGTTAGAATGGCAGTAATACTATAGTGTGTGTACTGGAACTTGAGAAATGAGATTTTGTGGGAGGGGGAAGTGAGAAGGGAGGGCCTATGGGCTGATTGCAGTAGCATTAGTTTTTCATTAACGGGGATAATAATGAGTTTAGGTAGGAAGTCAGTATAACAACAAAGCCCGGTTGTAAATGTTTTCTCAAAGTTCATACTTTGTTGTGATGTCTGTTGTAATGTTACGCTGCCCAGTTTCTTAGCCTCATAGTGCATCACTTTTCTCATCTTTGAAGTGAGGATAGTAATAGTACCTCACAAAGTTGTTTTGAGGATTAAATGAATAGATGTGTGTGTATATGTTTATATATATTAGTATAGCATATATGTACGTATACATATATAATACTTAGTGTCTGACACACCGTTAATGCTATCATGTGTTAGGTACCATGTTTTACTATGGATCGTCTGCCATGTGGTTGATCATGTCCACATGAAGACTATTTGAATGAACTTAATGGAAATTGTACATTTATTTGGTATAAACCTGTGTGGGCCCCGAAAACAGAAATTGTTTGTACTTTTTGGATAAAATTACGAAATTGGGGAGGCGCCTAGGTGACTCAGTCCATTAAGCATCTGACTTTGGCTTAGGTTATGATCTCAGCCTGCTTTAGATCCTCTGTCTTCCTCTCTCTCTGCCTCTCCCCTGCTCACGCTCTCTTGCTCTCACTCTAAAAAATAAATAAACATAAGAAAAAAACAAAATTGGTATAGTAATGTTCTTATCCCTTTGGAGAATTAAATATGAATAAATATGGTTTGGCCACTCAGATTTTTCAAAACAAGGAAGAAAGGCTGTAGAAACAAAAGATGTCTTTGGTGGTGGTTTAGGATTGGTTTACAATTTTCAAGTCTTGAACAAGGTAACCTTTTTCCTGAAGGCTTTTCTGACTAACACATCTAAGTAAGATAAAAGGTTGAACCAAAAGCAGTTTAGGTTTCCACTTCTAAATTTTTTTTTTTCAACGTTTATTTATTTTTGGGATAGAGAGAGACAGAGCATGAACGGGGGAGGGGCAAGGTTTCCACTTCTAAATAATGGATCTTCAGAATAATTAGATTAGTGAGAGGTAAGCCCCCCACTTCTCATATAATCTCCCTGGGGGAGATGTACCT